GCATATGTCTTTCGGAAGCACAAAAGCTTTTAATGTGACAAACGTATACACGTGCGGCTCCTTGCATAAAAACTTAACTCCAAGGTCTTCGACTATGCGCTGGTCAAAAATGCGGTGGTTGATGGATGAAGATGGGCGTCTAAGCTGTGTTACTTATTTCTTTTTAAAATCTTGTCTCCAGAATAAAGATAAGGTTGAGCAGTGACTCCGAGCCGCCGACCTTCTCATCTTCTACGAGTCGCCGCTCAGCAAAAATATAATATTATAAAAAAACAAATAAAAAAAACAAAGAGGACCTGCGGTGCGTGTCCCTCGCTGGCGAACCGACGTGTGCCTTGACTGAACACATACAACAGCTTCTGACAAAATAATATGTGTTTATTCTGTGTATGAGTGTGCTGAGGACGTCTGACGCCGTGATCACACCCGCAGAGTTTTTGAAAGGGTACCCGAGCTTTATGTTTTGCCAGATTTATAAAAGTAAATTAACAATAGAAATGATAACTTATTTATATTGTTGCTTTTTCAAGGTATACTCCTCAGCACAGGGCAATCGATTGCGAAGCCAACGACATGTACCGGCCTGATGTTAAATATTGTTATTGTACTTATTCTATTTTGTGTATACAAACTTTAGACTATATCAGGACACAGCAAGACGGACGCCGTCGTCGCGCAAGAAGCTGTTGGCATCTTACGTCAATTAATATATTGCAGATTTGCGACAATGACATGTCATGTTCTGTATAGGGTTCGTCGATTCTGATGGACGCCTGACGAGGAGTGACATACATGATTAAATTGGTTAAGGTAAGTTTCTTTATCCATTCCTTTCTTTTGCAGGACGCACAAGAAGAACATCATGTCGGTTCACGAGGGCATCGGCGCTGACGTCCATGATGACCTTCAACCGTATCTTGAACATATGCTGTCAGATTTATAATAATAAAAATGAAGGCAATCATATGTTAATAAATCTGCGAGGTATCATGCAAATGATTTCGTTCAGACGCAGCGTCTTCTGAACGTGGAGTTGCTACCTTAGTTTGTACTGCTTTGCTGTGCGCGCACACTTTTGCTTCTAGTGCAATTTCTAGCAGCCGAGGATTGCAGGCATTTATCACTGGCGTCTATTTCAGCAGCTTGCTTAATATACTAAACTTAGAAGTTTATACACCGTCACTTTTTTTAGAAGTATGCTCCAAGGTCAACCTATGTGGTTAACCAGAGCATCGAGAAGTTGATCCAGATGGAGTAACGGCTTGAGTATACTTCTAGACCATATTAATGTGTTTGACGGATGCATGTTTTAATTTTAAGGTCAAATGCAGCGGACGAAAACTGTGCCATTCTCTGGACGTGCAGGTCTTAAAATGTAAATTCTTGTATAGTGTTGAGCTTTGTCACCTATTTCAAATAACTTTAAGCATGACATGTTATCGACTATATGCTGCAAGGCATGACGATATGATGGATCCAGACATAAACGACAAGAATTTCAACTGGTATGATGGCCGCGATGAGTGTGGCCTGGCTTCTATTTACTCTCTTTGTATAATGTTTTGATCTTCGTACGTGCAGGGAACTCCATCGGGTTTTGCCTCAAGAAGAAGTCTATCCTGACCTGTGATCTGGAAATGAGTCTTTGCTCCTTTTCTGCAATATATATTTCATTTAGATTGTTTTGAACGTGTCATGCTATAAGTTTTCTCAGGCGATGCTCCTTATAAACCCCTTCAAGCAAATCAACTTGCCAAGCAAACTGATGTTTGAGGGTTTATTGAAGAGTCATCAAGATCAAGGTGTTCAGATCTCTGGACAGTAGTTGTGCCATATGAGGCGGATCAGTCAGCCAGTGGGCACAAGCAGCTGGCTCTGCCTCTAGGTGCCAACAGTTTTTAGGTACTAGTTAGGCGCAGAGGGTTTAGGGTTTATGGTTTTGTTGTTTGTATATCATCTTGTGCTCTGGTAGTTGGCCCTACAGAGCCTTTAGACTTACAGCGTCCGGTGTCAAAGACACTTTGACAGAAGACGCGCTCATAACACTGCTCGACTAGGTGCGCCCACAACGACGCCGGAGCTCATGCCACCGGGGCATCGTACCCCTAATGCCTGTCCAAGCATATTTTTTTCATCTGCTTCATTCGATTCTGTTATATTCCTTTGCCGTTGCTAGCATCCTGTATTATATCTGTCTAGGCTCCGGGCTTAGGGTTTAGTGTCGTATCACAGATCTAAGGGTCTTTAGGGTTTGTCCGACGCACGCTGACGTGCCTAATCTTGACAAGTCAAATCCCCATTTTTTCCTTAAAACATGCGTAACTCCTCAAATTTGTAACTGTCACTAATAGGTCATATGACGAAGATCTGCGTAGACTCACCTGGTTGAGGTCTGGCGTTGTGGGTTTCGGGCAGAATTACGAATTAGCAATGGTTTGGGATCTTCTTCTTGGACTTTCTTTCGTAACATCGGGTTTCGGGTATGATCCTAAACCCTAAACCCTAAACCCTAAACCATAAACAAGGTAAGCTTGCGATGAACACGTGGGGCATTTGCAGCTCCCAGTCCGTGCGCGCGGAGTGCAGCTAATCCAAGCCACTTGTAGGAATCAATTCCCTTGGCAACCATCTTTAAGCCCTAAACCTTAAAGCATAAGCCCTAAACCCTAAGCCCTAAAACTCCAGCTCTGAACGCAAAGGCCTGAAGCAGTTTTTGTGGTCACTGTAGTGGTGCATCAGGAAAATCAGGTACCCCGCCCCCCCTCTCAAATTACAAAAGAAAACATGGAAGGCGGGTGAACAGGTGGGTCAAAGTAAATCCCTGAGCTATAGACATCCGATCCTAAACTCTAGTAGCTGCCATCCATGATTGTAATACATGAAACCTGAAACCGTACTTTTTTAAAAAAACATTAAACTCTAAACATTAAACCAAAAATTTTAAACCATAAATCTTAGACCTTAATTTTCAGCGTAACTGGCTACCAGAGCTTAGAGAAGCTGCAGCTTCCTGCAGCCTGCGTGCCGAAGCTTGCAGAGAAGATAAGTTTAAGGTTTATAGTTTGAAGCTTAGGGTTTTATAGTAGATTTTCTGGCTGTGTTTTCTCTGCTGCTTGAGCTTTGACTGCATACGTACCGGAGCCGCTGAGTAGCTGTATCGCATGATGAAAAGTCTATTGGCAAAGCATGCTTATTCTAATAAATAGATTTATACTATTATTTTTTAATACACTTATAAAAAGTAAGCCAAAAGAACCCGAAAGGTCTCAGGCTCATATATATATATATATATATATACATTTTTATGTATTTATTTATATTTATATTTATTTGTGTATGTTACTGTGCCTTGCGCCTTGTTACACTACAAGGCTTGGGTTGCTTGGGGCGTGCACTGCGAGAAATTCAAACAACACAAAATCTGTTGGCTACTGCGCCCTGGCACACAGCTTCAAGGCTTTAGGATATGTCTGGGGGTTGCGGCTCTCAGACAAGGTCGTCCGTCGCTAAAGTCACACAAAGTCAGGAATAGTCACGAATAGTCACGGTTGCAGCAAAGGCTTCAGTACTTTCAAATCAATGGCTGCAGGCAGTGCAGGCTCAGCTGCCCAACCTCATTTCAGAGAAACAGTGAAACTATCAACGCCTCCCAACCGCCTCCCCTCCCTCCACCCCTCCCCCCCGCTCCCTCACAAAAAAACAAAAAAACCTGATAGGATGCACGCACCCCAATGCAGACACGTGCCACCAACTTCGGCAAGAAAAATGCGACGTGAAGATGTGAAGACACGAGCCGAGGACACGACACAAGGACACGACAAGAGGACACGGCACGAGGACACGGCACGAGGACAGGAGACGAGGAGACGACACGAAGACGAAGGTGCGAAACAAAGACACGAGCACAGAACACGACACAAAGACATAACATGACAAAAGGAGGGGACACGAAGACATGACATGAAGATTGGACACAAGAGGCGACACGAGGAGAGCACGAAGACGAAGACACGACACGTCACGAAGACATGAGACGAATAGACGACAGGAAGACACGACACCAGTGCACGACACCGGGACACGACACGAAGACGAAGACACGAGACGACACGAAAACATGACACGAGGACGAAGACACGAGGACACAAAACGAAGACATGACGAAGGCAGGACACACGAAGGCAAAGACATGAGGAAACGACACGAAGACACGAGACGAGGACACGAAGACACAACACGAGGACACGAGACGAGGACATGACACGAGGACAAGACACGAAGACGAAGACACGATACGACACGAAGACATGACACGAACACACGACACAAAAGCACGACACGAGGACGCGACGCAACAAGGACACGACACGAACACGAAGACACGAGGAAACGACACGAAGACACGACACCGAGGACACGAGACAAGGACGTGACAAGGACACGACACGAAGACGAAGACACGATACGACACGAAGACATGACACGAAGACGCGACACGAGGAAAGGGGCGAGGGGTGGGTCCGGGAAAGGGGGGGAGGGGGGCGGGACGGGGCGGGCCAGGGTTCTGGCATCCGGAAAAAGGGGCGGCGTTCGAGGTTTGGCACTGCGCACGGATTTCGCGTCAACCCCGAACCCCAAAACGAGAACTTTTCGGGAAAAAATTCGCCTCGGCTTCCTGCCGAGAAGCGTCTGGAACAAGCAGACCGGGCCTCCTTCGGCCCAACCCTTCCCCCCCCCCCCGGCCTGTGGGCCCCCCAGTCGCTTGGAGGAGCTGCAAACCGATGCCGTGCGGGGCGCTCCAAGACTTGTTGGAACCCTCTCCTGCCACCTGCCACACCCTGATACCCCTCCCACGAACCCCCCCCCCCGAAAACCCTCCCCGCTTCCTGACCAGAAACCCTCTTTCCTCCTTTCCTGTCCGTGGGCCGGCCCGGCTGCCGAGGCGGCGCGCGAGCGTTTACAATGACTGAAGCGCAGCGCCAAAAGCCCAACCAAAGGAGCTAGAGGGAGGATGGAGGCCCCTCTGCCTCATCCCAAGTCTCCTTCTTGTTCATAAGCAGGCAGACCTGGCCCAATATGTTGCAGCTTGTCGGGGGGCTGGAACTGTCGCGTTGAACTGGACTTAGGAAACCTCCAGGAAATGCAGCGCGTGCTGTGCTAAAATAGCGCGACGATGTCACACAAGCCAGTGTCGCTGTGGATCTGCAAGAGAACGCTGTTGTGAGTCTGGAATGCTGTAGACCCCATGACACGCAACTGCTCTGGGACCCCCCGAACCCTCGATTATACTGCCATCATAGACTTCCAAATCTATTTCCAACTAATGAGCTATAGCCATGGTGGCAGAAGCTTTGTAAATCCGCTGAGGCGTGGTCTGCGCTGAGGACCACCTCGACCAAGGCCGGAGGTTTGGCAAACGACTTCACCTGAAGTTTCAGACTCCAGAGGATTGCGGCTTGCGGGTCTGGAGTGTATAGGATGGGTTGCCAGACTTGGACAAAGTGGTTTAAAGGCACTGGGTATCCGGTTCTTCTGCATACCTGTACAACACAACAGTCCACTCATGCTGGGAACAGGAGAAGCATGCCGGGCCGCGATCTCGAAGATCGCCATGTGGAAAGGCATAGAAACGACCATTGGCTAGAGGCACTTCTTTAGCTTCGAGTCAGATTCAAGTCCTCATTGTTTAGTCCGCTTACAAAGATTTCTGAACCTACAGGCCCTAGAAGGCCCCCTATTCTCCCTTAAAAAACCCGAAGCCCTCTAAGAATGACATGCAAAGAGCAAGTCCGGGCCTCCTGAATGTCCTTCTTGTCCAAGGAATCCAAGGCTTTGATGGCATCATAGTACTCAGGAAGGGCCTCGAATCGTAAAACTCAGGCCACGCACCCATAACGTATGGTGGACACGGCACTGCGATGTTTGTGCCTCTGCTATTTCCCCAGCAATGCTGTAGCGGATAGTCTGATAGTATCTCTGGAAGCACTGGCACTTTTGGCCGCTGCAGCTGGGCACCCAAACCTCGTCCAGCTCCCTCTGGCACTCCGTCTTGATCGCGTTTGCTGTGGCTGCAGCCTCCGAAAGCGCGGAAGCAAGAAGTGCGCCCGCACATGGGCACGTCGTAAACTCCCAGAGCTTCAAGCCTCTTCTCTTGCGTGTGCTAGGGCCATTCTTGCTTCTTCCGGTTCATGGTCTTCTGGCCCTCCGATCTTGATTACAAGAACTTCTTACTATGTGCTTGCTGATATTGTGTGGTCTGACCGATCCGATCGACGAGCCTCTCCGGCTTCCTTTTCGTCGACTTCACATGCTGCCTGTGCTTCCTGCGAAGGTGGAAGTATATGCTGACCAGACTGAACTAACTACGACGCTTCTAGCTACTGGCAGCCTCTAGTCTACATAGTTCCAACTGCTATAGCTGGACAAGCTGGTGTATTGTGCCTCACTTTGGTACTGCAATTACCGGTCAGGACAACTGCCGTAGCTGCTTGTCACAGAAAGGTCCTTGGCAACTGCCTCTTCTTTGTCCACCTGCAGATGCATATAGATCGTCTCTTGCTTAGCACTGCGCACTTGCGATCTCTGCCATAAACGGTAGCAGTTCCGGCTGAATTCAGTCTAGGTCAACGAAAGCACGGACTCTATTTACATGGGATGGGAGAAGCACAAAGACTGAAGTTTTAATCTGACGGTGGGACTACTCGTAAGATTAACGCACGAATGTGTACTTCCAATAACCAATCATTAACAACAGCACCGGGAATTAGAGGTCTTTGAGCGAGGCTTGTTTTGCTGGCAGAAAAGCTTGCACTTTTCCGAGCGCGACCGGCTCTACTCCAAGAATGCTGCCCTGGCTTTAACGACCTTACCCACAAATGTGCTAAGTTTGAAATGTGCTAGTACTCCCTGACATTTGTCAGCGGGCTCGGGGATGCACATCATTCGCTCTCTCGAGACGGTAGGGGAGGCATAGAGACGTAAAGTGGAGACTACAGGACTACAGGGCCTGGAGGCCGAAACTAGAGACTAAACAGTGCAGTCTCCGGAGCAGAAAAGCCGAAAGTCAGAATCTGGAGGGCATTCAGAAACCCAAGGGCTTACTCTCCACGGCCTGTTTACCAATTCGAAAATTTGCTTCGAAGTCATTGCACTGTCTGAAAATCGGTAACACATGGTGACAAGGGGCTGGGTACCGGACAGCCGGTTGGAGCGGGGCTACCGGTGGGCCGGGGCGGGGGTAATGTCGATTGGTGTGCAGTGGGCTGTTGAATCCGTGTAAGAGACACATGGAGTATCATGGAGTCTGGTTTCGAGGTTGTTTGACCAGCATGTTTTCCTGGCTGGACCTCGTAACAAGTACCAATGTGTTCCTGCAGCTTTGACGACAGCCACGAAAACAGCAAGCACACTTGGGTCGTGTTTTGAGGACTGATTTTCATGAGTTTTCACTACATGTCTTGGGGTGTCTGACTAGGCCGAGGGAGCACTTCAAACCTACAGCAGAATTTGTCGGCTAAGCAGGGTCTGACGTTTCCTTGGTCCGTTGAGGGGATTAACCAGCCAGCTCACCCACTCAGCGTACTGGACATGCCAAGTCAGCTCATGCACTCAACTCACTCATTTCACTCAGTCCTTCCTTCACTCATTCAAAAACCAGATCAACCAGTCACTTGCTAAAAGTCATTGAAGTCTGTAACATGCGAGTGACAAATCAAGTTGCATGCAAAAAGGCGCCCGCTACGAAACTAAATTCTAGCTAGATTACTAGATAGACACATCGGCCACAAATGCCTGTCACGGATGCTTGGTGCAGACGCCGATTAGGTTCTGAAGCTGACGAAGTCAAGCAAGGGGCGTTGGGAGCTCTTGTCGACAGGGTATCACATGTTGTATACCGCCGGAAGCAAGCAGACACTTTATGTGGATGCCATAAATATGAATATACACAGATATACATATATATATATATGTATATATGTGTATATACAGCCAAATGCAGCAACCAAACGTGCATAGCACAGTAGGTTTCAGTACTGGTATGTACAGTCCTTGCAGCTTGCCCTGCTTGGTGGAACGTGGGCATCATGAAATGGGCAACACAGAGGACATAACATGGCTGTCTGATGCTGTCTGCTTGCTCAGCTATGTTCAAGTGGCCCTCGATGGCCTGCACGATGAGCTTCTCGGTGTCCTGACACGTGCATTCCAAGGGCGCAGGCTCTTCGAGAGATGCTTACAATTCTAAAGTATATACCAGATTTTACTTGCTAAAATATGTGTATACATCATATATACTACACATATCACACTCCAGTCCAGACTCATGTATTCCGCATGCGGAACATTACCATGCATTAATAATTGGTTATCATTACATGAAGATGATGTTTACATGAAGTTAGCAATGAAAGAAAACATGTGGATAAGATTAAGTCAAAAAAAGGTACAGTAGTGTCGATCTGGATGGTATCAAACCGAAAGAAACGGATGAAATGTAAACAGTGGTGGAGTCATCGTGAATATATGATGGCTGCCACCTCGACTAACCCTGAGCCCTCAGTCTGCAGGTCCTTCTTGCCTTGCTCAATGACAGGCTGCATCTTTGTGAGGTCCACCTGCTTGGGTGTATCATCGGGGTGCGGAGGTTGCAGAATAAAGCTCATAAACGGGTCAGTGCGGCGTGCGCCGGCCCTGAAGCGAGATTGAATGCTGCTTACCGTTTGATGTAGCAACAAGGAATTATTTGCTGCCGGGCAGCAGTCAAGTTTGCGAAAGGACTTTGCGACATGTTCCGTCAACAAGCACATCAACATGTGTGACAACAGCGTGTCGCTCTGGTGTGCGCCTTCAGCTTGTCCACAACAGATTCGGTCTCCTTCAGACGCTGAGCACCCACCTGGCAAGGCCGTGGTTCATCACCACACAAAGCTCTGTCCTGAAGGGTTCTCCAAGATGATCGCTGGAAGGCTGCTCTGCTGTGTGGCGAGAACTCATGGCTTAAACGAATACCAAGGTTTGTTTAGTCACTTGTCACTGGCACTTCGAGAACTTTTGTGCAAGGCCTATGCTGGTCCCTGCATGGCCTTGTGGACAGCTACAGGCAGTCAGGCACAAGCCGCTGTCTTTAAGATGTGCAAGCAAATAGACATGCAGTAGCTTCACTGACAACGCAGGGTCACCCTTCTAAAGCGAGCTTTCGGGGCAATCATGGGCAATCAGTTCAGGGCGGTTGCATAATAAACTGTCTCATTATCTGCGACTGTTATGGCTTTACGGGCGAGGAGTTGTGAAGCTGTATTGCAGGTGACTTTGGCTGCATTCCTCTCAGCCAGGTTACTCGATAGCGGTTCAGCTTTGTGTCCAGCTCACCTTTCTTCATCCCAAGCCTCATGGCAGCAAAGATGTTTAAAGCAACTAAGAAACACACATAAGTATGTTCTTGCTTTGGGGTGTGTCGAATTGACGTCTTGGGGTTCCCTTGGTTTTCATCCGCTTTCCTACTGTGAGCCTATTTGGAGGATAGTGTTGTGGGATCAAAACAGGGCTTCGGCGTTTCGGAGCTTCAGCGTGCCGATTCGGGTTTCAGGGCTTTTGTGGGCTATCCCCACGAGTATGCATTGCGGTCAGACTTTTTTGGTTGTTTGAGACCTCTTGTGGGCGCGGCTACCGGAATGTCCAGGGAATGCTCGAAGTTGCTCAATTTGTAATTCGGCATAGAGACAAGTCTGTGAACAACTTGATGAGCTCCAGATATGAAGTTGGCGTCATGTACCTGGACAAATTTGTGCAAGCTGGAGCTTAAACAATCCGACTTGCCAAGAACTTGCTGTCACATCCAGCAAGATGCCCTCACCAGCGCATGCTGATAACGCCAGCCCTTTCGTGGCTGGTCCCGCGTTGCTGTCGATGTCAGTGCGCATGAACTGAATACATAATAGAACAAGCCAACCTAGGTGGGAAATACAATCTATACATGTACACTGCACACTGTATTTAAGTACGTTAAGTAAAAGGTTCGTAGATTCCTGGTTGGTCCGCAGCAGTGCAAGGCACGTCTTCCGGCGGAGCTCATCAAAGAACTTGTCTGCTGCCTCGCAAAGAGGTTCGGGAGTGATTTCAAATTGAGTGGTGCCTCGGAAGTTTAGGCGGTTGCTGCTGGGAACGCAGACCTGGACCGAGCTCAAAACAGGCAGCTTCTGTGTCCTAACAGGATTCACGGGGACCAAGTCCTCGAGACAGAGCCCTTGTTTTTGGGGATTGCGGTTATGGAGAAATTACTGGTCATTAGTGGTCTCTACGATTACGCATGCCAACAGAATTTGTACAGTTGATCGAACGTACTGGTTGCAGTTGTCACCTTGCTGCAATCTCACATAGCAAAACGACACTTCCTGACATCTGTGAGCGTCAGTTTGCTGCGTGGGAACTGCGTGGGAACGCGCCTCAGCACGTGCCATCAGATTTCGGCTTTTTAGGGTTTAAACCTCCGTCGAAGCCTCGGAACAACCCCCGGAATATCCCGGAATGCCATTTTCTTCGGGCCTCCGAGGCCGAGGCATGGATGACCTGGGACGCATGAGGGTATATTGTGTGCGTGTGTGTACTCGAGGTGAATAAATATAAAGATAAAGATAAATATAAATATAAACATAAATATAAATATAGATATACATATAAATATAGGTATACATATAAATAGAAAGCAAAAAACAAATATGAATATGAATATGAATATGAATATGAATATGAATATGAATATGAATATGAATATGAATATGAATATAATTTAAATATAAATATAAATAAAAAAAAATATATACATATATACATATATATGGGTGGCTGTCAATATTCCTTCTTCCAGGAACGGCGGATGCTGAAAAAATCATGGTGCCGCCGTATGACGAGAAGGAAAACGAAGGTCTGGAACGATGGCTTTGGCAAGTACAGAAGTGTAGTACTAATTCTTGCTCCCTATGCAAAAACCTCGCAAAACACACAAGCGCCGCCATTTTAACACTCAGGCATCGTCATCGGAACTATTGGAGCTACTTGAGCTCGAGCTAGTAGTGCTTTGCTCTTCCAGGTTGGCCATGTTTCAAATCAGCTGTCTTAGTACTGCTTTATGTCTTGGATGGGCAAGTGGCCACCACAAGCAGTTTCCCTTCAGATTTGCTAGCGCGATGCTAGCGCCAGCCTAGCGCATTTTTCGCTGCGTGACTTTAGAATTATGGCACGCCGGCAGTATGCATCAGGAGCAACCACAGGGTTTAGGGTGTAGGGTTCAGGGTGTGTAACCCAATGTTCCACACTCTTACCTAAGCCGCAGGCCGCCTATACTACTTAAGCTTCCCGAAGGCTAAACCCTACACGCTAAACCCTAAAATGCTAGCCTTTGGAAAGGAACACCTAGCGCCACGCTAGCGCTATCCTAGCGCCTACATGGGGGAAGAGCCTGAAACCTACGCATGGTGCCGCCTTGTGGCGAAGACATAAACCAGCAAGAGCGGAACTTCATATCGCACTTCCATCATATTTTACATTCATGGTATTTTGACGTCCGAGCATATATAATATATATATATATATATCTATATAATCCGAATGCTCCACAGAAGGGTTCCTGTTTTAAAGTTGGGGGTCTGGGGGCTGGGAGGTTACCAAACGTCGTGGCGTGGTGGTCGCCAAGCGTCCGTAAAGCATCCGTCAAGCGTCCGCAAGCGTTTGCGAGTGGCGTCACGCGCGCGGTTAAGCGGGAACTCCACAGGATGCGTGTGCCCGCGGCGTTCCGCGGCGTTCCGAATCATCCGAATCCGTCAAGCTAAGGGGGAACTCCACAGGGCACGCGTCCCCGCGGTGGTTCCACGCGGCGTTCCGCAGCGTTCCGAATTCGTCAAGCTAAGGGGATCTCCACAGGACGTACGTCCCCGCGGCGTTCCGCGTCGCGTTCCGCGGCGTTCCGAATCCGTCAAGCGTCCCCGCGGCGTTCCACGCGCACGCGGCGTTCCGCGGCGTCCCCGCGGTGGTGGTCCGTGGTGGTGGTCCGTGGTGGAGGTCCGTGGAGGTGGTCCCGTGGTGGTGGTCCGTGGCGGTGGTCCGTGGTGGTGGTCCGCGGGGTGGTGGTCCGTGGTCGCGTGGCGGTGGTGTGTGGTGGTGGTCCGTGGTGGTCCGTGCTGGTGGTCCCGTGGTGGTGGTCCTGTGGTGGTGGTCCATGGTGGTGTGGTGGTGGTCCCGTGGTGGTAGTCCATGGTGGTGTGGTGGTGGTCCTGTAGTGGTGGTCGTGTGGTGGTCCTGTCAGTGGGTGGCGGTGGTCCTGTTGGTGGTCCCGTGGTGGTGGTCCGTGGTGGTGGTCCGTGGTGGTGGTCCCGGGTGGTGGTCCCGTGGTGGTGGTCCCCCCGTGGCGGTGGTCCCCCCGTGGCGGAGGTCCTGTGGCGGTGGTCCCGTGGCGGTGGTCCCGTCGTGGTGGTCCCGTGGTGGTGGTCCGTGGTGGTGGTGGCGGTGGTTTCCTGGCGGTGGTGCCATGGTGGTGGTCCCATGGCGGTTCCCATGGTGCACGGTGGTGGTTCGTGGCGGTGGTCCGGGGGTCCGTTGTGGTGGTGGTGGTGGTGGTGGTACCTGCTGGCGGTGGTGGTGGTACTTGGTGGTGGTGCTGGTGGTGGTGGTGGTGGTGGTGGTGGTGGCGGCGGTGGTGGTGGTGGTGGCGGCGGCGGCACCTGGTGGGGTGTGGGTGCGTGGGATGTGGGTGGGTGTGGGTGGGTGAATGTGGGTGGGTCGGTGTGGGTGGGTGGGATGTGGGTAGGTGGGGTGAGGGTGGGTGGGGTGCGGGTGGGTTAGATGTGGGTTCGACTACGCAAGAACTTCATGCACAATGATCCGATTGAACCGTGCAAAAAAAGTTTTGTTTCCGCCCGCGCACCGACGTTTCGTTTACCCAAAGGCTCCTCTGTAGTACCTTTTTGGGGTAGCATACTACAATCCCCTATAACTAGCCCAAAAGGAACTACATTGGAGCCTTTGGGTATATGGCGTTATATTTACGTTATAATGTTATGGGTGACTGCTTTCTGCATTCGGGTTCGTGGCTCCTATCTTTTTTTCTTTGTTGGGGGGGGGGGGGTACCTATATATATATATGTATGTCTATATATATATATATATATATAGAGAGAGAAATATAAAAATATATACAAATATATCAGAAAAGATGCGCAGAAAAGGGGCCCGCTCTCGAGAATATCATGTGACGGGTTGGTATTCGTTGAGAGTTTAACAACGTCGGGCGGCGTCGGGTGTCTTGGGAAAAGATCGGTGGCTTTGCAGCATTCGGCTTAGTCAAGGCATCTTGATCTGGGGATAACAGATTCAGATGAGAATGACCACCCACAGAATCACCTGAGCCCAAAAAACGAGAGATGATTTTCTCCTGCTCATGGCCATGCAACTGTGCCCTGTCACCAGTCAAGTCGGCAATTCAGAAAATTGAGCTGACCTACATTGTGCCAAGGTGCACAAGATATCTTCGACAGTGCGGCGATGCTGGCATCGAGCTCGAGCTCTTTGGGGGCCTGAACGTAATACCTCCAAAACAGGCTTCCTGAGTCTGCTTTCCATTGAGGATTCGTTCCAGTGACGCTGCCGCATGTTCCTACAAGCCTTCGATGCAGGCAATATACTGACATGCGTATGCCTTCGCACCTTCGCCATGACCACAATGACTCACAATGACTCACAATGACCGCAAGGCCGAATGCATTTGTCTGCCACTGCCCCGCTCAGGGCCTCTCTGCGACGGAAATCAATGCGTCCTGCGCGGTGGGACGGCAAGTTGTGTGTCAGTATATGCCAGTATTCATGAAGATTCAGCTCGCATCGAACATGAAAGTGCTGTTGGCAGATAGTCTTTCTACGAATCAGACCGATACATCAGGAAGCAGCAGTGGACAGTTCCTTGTTTTCTTGCTTTTTTGTATGGTTGCACGTGAAGGGTCCAGGGATACCTTCACGGGGCTGGCCCCGGTGGCTAAATGCTGCTTTCTACCACATGATTGGGAGGGTCCCTTCCTTTCCAGGTTTAAGGTTTAGGGTCTTGCTTGTGATACGGGAGCATGGACAAGTGTTTCGCAGAGTCATGCTCGGAGAAAACATGCTTGACAAAAGGCCGTCGGGTTCTCCCGGTTGCTTTGTTAGACCACCACAATCCTCAGGCCATGGATCATACCAGTCAACCGTGGCACAATTGATGAGCGAAGGGAACCTCGGAAACAAAGTGTGGTCAGGAAATTGCATGTATACCATTACGCTAGTATAGGCAGCTCACACTGGACATGTCTCCACGCCGCGATGGTCTTTGCCTCTGAGACTGCCACTGCCGACAGCGTGCACGGAAGCCCTCGCCGACCGGGGAAAACCTGGAGCTGCTCTGAGATCCGGAAGTCAGCGAGATTTTCCGGGTGTAAATTACGAATTGCGGGGCGAAGCGTTTTTCCACACATTTAAGACACATGCTTCCGCATATTTAGTAGAACGTGAGTCAGGTAAGGGCCTCAGAACGAGTGGATGGCAGCGCGTCCAAAATCACAGGTGTCAAAACGGTTCTCACATCTTGCACTTTCTGATTCTGCATCTCACCGCAATGTCTCCAAGCTGTCGAGGACATCATGCAGGTCTGCTGGCAACGGGGCTTCCAAGCTCAGCTCCTCAAGGGGACAGAAGATGGACAAGCACGCAGGAATACATAGAAGTACCGACATGATCGACTTGGGATGTCTGGAGGATAAAACTGTAGGAAGGCAGCTCAGAAACTGCCAGTGTCGTTCAGAAGAGGGCTTCATTTCATGCGGCTCTCGTCCTTCTGTTTATCTCTCCCTCCATACACCATGTTGCGCCCACATAAGTATACGTGTCTTCCAGGATTTTATATAGAGCACGACCTGACCGCAGAGGCTGCACCTGCCCATTCAAGGCAAGGAGTTCCAAGCGCCGGCAGTGGAGAAAGAGCCGTGGGCAGAAGGTGTAGAGCTCAGGCCTTCACTTTGTCTGCAATGCGCCGATCTGTGCCCGAACCACTTGTACCGACAATGCTTGCAGGCATACATCGTTGCGACCCTGGGCGTCTCAGAAATTGTCTTCTGGGAGTGGCGGGCTGCCGCACAGTTACATCTCAAGTGGGCATGATCCCAGCATGCAAACTGACGATCCCATGACTTCCCCCGATCGTTGACATCTTTGATCGAGTGAATTTGAGCCCCAAATCAGGCCAAGAACCTGAACACTCTATCAAAGCGTTACCCCCCAGCAGCCAAACTCTACTGTTAATCAAGCACAACTTTGGTCCAATGAATGGAGCACATAAGCAGGTTCTTTCACGCTCTGGTTTTTGCCATGCTGCTGCCCGTACACGTCGTCCCCGAGAATGGGCAGGCCGACGCTGGCGAGGTGCGCCCGGATCCTGGGACTGCAGAGCTTGGAGCTGGATCCACGATCATCCTACAGGAGCCCAGAGCACTTAAGGAAGCAAAAGAACAAGAAAACAAAGCAAGACCCAAAGACGATATCAGTCGAAGTTTTGTGGCAGCAACATATCCACTGCCCCGCGATACGGCCTGGAAAAGCTGAGAGTCTGATGGGTGCGGCCCGTCAGAGGCCGAGCCTGTGAACAGGTCCGTGCTAGGGCTGCTAGGGTTGCGTGCCTGTGACTCGTGACTTTTTTGGCAGGCTGATCACATGTCGAGGGTCGAACACCCGTTTAACAAAATCCTTTGGAGACCCACAGGCCTGTGAAGTTCTCAACAAGAAAACTGCCGTCTTGTAAGCAACCGATGCGTGCCCTTGAGGGCGGCCGCTCGAGGCCTTAATATTGTAACCCCCTCCTCCCCCCAACATCAACAAACATCAACAACAGCAACAAGCAACAAGCAACAAGCAACAAGCAACAAACAACAAACAACAAGCAACAAGCAACAAGCAACAAGCAACAAACAACAAGCAACAAACAACAAACAACAAGCACCAACAAGCAACAACCAGCAACAACCAGCAACAACAAACAACAGCAAAACACAACCAGCAACAACGAGCAACAACAAACAACAGCAAAACACAACCAGCAACAACGAGCAACAACAAACAACAGCAAAACACAACCAGCAACAACAAACAACAGCAAAAAACAAGAAACAAGAAACAAGAAACAAGAAACAAGAAACAAGAAACAAGAAACAAGAAACAACAACAACAACAACAACAACAACAACAACAACAACAACAACAACAACCACCAAACAACAACAACACCACCAACAACAACAACAACAACAACAACAACAACAACAACAACAACAACAACAACAACAACAACAACAACAACAACAACAACATCAACAACAACAACAACAACAACAACAACAACGACAACAACGACAACAACCACAACAACCACAACAACCACAACAACGACA